TACACAGCCAGCAACTCAGAGTGATATGTGTTGGGGCACAGAAAACAATCTACTATAGTTACACCATGCCCAAGCACCTCCAGGCTTCAAATCTGTCTTGTTTTACAAGATGTACTCTGATACGTATGCTAAAATGAGGACTCCAAAATGGAAAAAAATATGTTTTATTCATAAGGTCGGTCATCGGGGATGATTTGGAAAGTCAATTGCCTTTTGCAACTTTTCTGTTTCATTTCTCTTGGGACACGTGGGAGGTGGAAAGTGCGTCGAAAATCACTTTGCTAGAAGTAACAACCTGAAGAAGAGCTTCACTCTAGGGAATGATAGAGTATCAGACACTACAGCCTCATTAAAGGAGGTGGCAAAATGGGGTGGAAATGGGAGAATGTGCCAAATGAAAAAAAAAACCTGGCCTTGGAAAACTTAGCACTGGTGAAAGCTATGCAAGAAATGTTAGAAATATTAAGGATGCAAGCATACAGTCTGTTTGACTGTAGAAGAACAAACTGGAGGTATGCCACTCAAAACACATTTAAATAAAAATCTCTAATTCTAAAGTGTCTAAAACAAACTTCTATAAATTGAATAAAATTATTTGCATTATGATTACTTATAAACGATGATTGGGTCTCTATATCCCTCTATTACATGAAGTTGCCTCAGGGTAACAAACCCATTTCCCTCACTTTACATTCATCACTTTAGTATTTGTCATTTTTGATCCATCCAAAAAATATGATTCATTTGAAGTTCATTTTTAATATTCAGTATCATACACTTTTTGTGTATTTTGGCATTAAATTCAAAATGGGGATATATTTTTCAAAAAACAATAAAAATCTTCAGTTTCAACATTTGATATGTTGTATTTGTAGTATTTTCCTTTAAAAATATGGTTTACATGATTTGCATATCAATGCATTCTATTTTTATTTACATTTTATTTACAACTTTTTTGGAAATGGAGCTGTAGAATTATTTTGTTAGTGAGAATCATTTTGTGTTTGTGCTTATTTTATTTTGTTCAAACATTTAGATCAAAAATCCAGTTTCCTATGTAACACTGTATTATTTCTTTTACATTGTTACACAATGTTGTCTCAAGGCGCACCAAAAGGACCCCAGCATATATATTTATTTTTCATTTGGTATTAATTATATATATATATATATATATATCTTTGACTACAGATTCACAGCTCAGTTGTCTGCTACAGCTGGACTGTTATGACTACTGATCCTTTGAACTTGATAAAAGCATTTTATCTGGACTCAGCTTTCATTACTTTCACCTGATGTACCCTATCATTTTAATCAGATCATCTCTCCTCTGACACTGCACTAAATTAACCGTGGTTGTGTAGGAGAGATGTTCCAGATAAGCACGTTTTCACTTTCTGGAAGCTAAAATTACCCACCAACAATAAGTCATGGCAAAAACAGACAGCAGTACGGTTCCTCTGAGAAATACCCAAAAGAGCACACTTTCTGGTCAACCCCTCAGGTCATAAACAAAGTAGCGGTTAGCATGATCCTGGTACCCTGTCCAAAAGCATCCAGACACCCCAAAATTATCTCAATAAAAAAGCATTGACCAGTATAATTGGATGCTCTGGAGCAGCCGCACATGAGCCAAAGGTCACCATGCCCAATGACAAGCGTTAGCTAAAGGGGTATAAAGCCCCCCAGCATAGGACTATGGAGCAGAGAAATTGTGTCTCAGCTGTCTTTGCATGTATTTCCTGTTTCCGTGCTCCTCCCTTTCTTTGCCCTTTGGTCATGTCCATCACCTGTGTCTTGTCTATCACTACACACTATAATTGTGCTCAGGTGTTTCTTGCTCTGTTGCACCCTGTTACATGTTTCCCTGTTGGATGCTAGTGTTCTTCTTCCTCCCCAGTCCTTTGTTGTCTTTTAGTTTAGTAGTCTTTGTTTTCTTTCTTAGTTCAGTTTTTTTGTTTCATTCCTCTTGTGAGTTATATTTGTTTTCATCATGGATTGCAATAAAACCTCAGACTTGCATTGCATCCTGTTTCCTTCAGCGATACAGTTCTCTGGAATTATAGAGCTCCATCTAATACCTTTGAGATGAGTTGGAGTGGTGTTTGTGATTCAGAACTAATCATCCAACATCAGTACCTGATCTCACTAATGCTCCCATGTCTGAATGCAGTCAAATCCTCACAGCAATGTTAAAGCATCTAGTGTAGCCTTCCCAAAAGAGTAGGCAGAAAATCACTATTGACGCCCTTTATTTCAGAAGAAAACACTGGATAATCATGTAACTACAAACTTTTGAAAAGGTTTCTGGTAAATTTCATTCCAGTACATTTGCATTATCCAATGTAAATGTCCTTAAATTTGATGGAATCAAGTTCAAGTGATGCCATTTAAAAGCTTTCACTGTGGAACAGGCTAATATGATTTGGGTAATTGGTCAAGAAGGTCATTTCCCATTTGTATCTCTCCTGATAACACTCAGATTACTGAATCACTCTGACTTCACAGGTAGTCCCTGAGGCAACATTCATTTTGACTGACCTTTGAGGGACTGTTGGAACACCATTGGTTTTACACAGGATTATAAGCTTGTCGTCCACTCCCACTCACACCATAGATGACAGGATGAGATATTTACTTATCTTGCGTCACGCTGTCTTCATCCTAGTAGCACTGAAATGTGAAAAATGCTGTGTAGACGCAGCCGAGGACACCATTATCAAAACATCAGTGGTTATCAGTAACTGGAAGAACATTTGCCTGGAGTCATTGTCCCCTCCCCGTTCTTGTCTCTATGCTAAGTTGCAGTCTTGTGTACTGTTGGAGGTTACCATAGATGACTCCTGGGTGCAAAAATGATCTCTTTATGTCAGTCTTTCACACTTGAAAAGCATTTCGAAGCTTGCAGTTGCTATGGTGCCATGTTCTCTTCACTTGTGGGTTTTCTCCACTGTTGCTACCTCTTTCACCACTCAGACTACACATGCACTGCATGACAGCTTGTGATAAATAAATAATTAGTCTTTCTACTGTAAACCTTCCCTTAATTGAAACAACTTGGACCCCTGCATTCCCCCAACGAGATCCACTTAGAGTGAATGTTTTCTTCTGACGGCACTCCTAAAAGCCAATTAGTGTGATTAGTTTTCAGGAGGCTGGCATGTTAGGTGCAGCAGCTTTCTGTGAGAACTTTAAAGACGTAAATCAGCATGTCACCTGTAATTAGCGGTCATAAGGTGAGAATGCGAGGAAACGTCTTTGACACCTGCGTTGATTTGGAATAATTAAGCGGGTGATGGGAAAATCCAGAGGTGGGTAGTAAATATTTACATTTTCTCTGTTATGTGTAAAAGAAAAATTTTATGGACACTTTTACTTTAACACATATTAGTCATTCATAGCTTGACCAAAAAGAGAAGAATAGCATCAGTTCATTTCCAATGCTGATTCTGGACATACTACACGCTTTCAATGGTTCTTTAATAAAGGCAAAGGTTCTACAGTCCTGCACAAAAGTCAGAGACCACCCTTGATTTATTTCATTTCCAGTCAAAATGGCAGATAGGTACAAGTTATTCATTCTTCAGCAGATATTTCTGTGGAGATATAATATGATCCACTTGCATAAGGAAGATAAAAGTATATGGAAAATAAGTGAGTTTCCAGAGAGATGTAGCGAAAATTGAACTCCTAAGAATCGTGCAAGACCTGGACCACCAAAACTGTCACCATTACACAAACAAATCTGTCTTTAAGATAAAGCTCCATTCTTGCTTCAGATCTGAAAAAATCCACAGGTGAGTCTCTCCATCATTCCACTATGAGAAGATAAGTCAACACTGTGGATGAAATAAACAGTAAAAAAGAGGAACAGAAAAAAGATCATTTGCAAATCAAATACGGAGCTGTTGGTGCTCTCAGAACGACTCACCACCTCCAGACCTCAACATCACTGAATGTGTTTGAGATTATTTGGATTGTGAGAAGCAGAAAATGCAACCAACTTCTAAGACTGAACTTTGGATGTGTGGAAAGATTTCTTTGAAAAACTGAAAGTGAGTCTCATTAAAAGAATGGAAGCTGAAATAAAGGCAAAATGAGAACACACTAAATACTGAAAAGTATGATATTTAACTGTTGAGGCTTCTGTGTAATTTCCTGTTACATCTGTTTTCTGATGCAGAACTAGATATGAAACAAAGGTGGTCTCTGACTTTTTCACAATGCTGTAGGACCATGAACACAGATTTGGATGCGTAAATTGTTTGCATGGTTAAACAGTTCTTCTCTATCTTCTCGATTGGAAACATGTATATGATTCTTTAAAAACATTTTTAAAAATGGTTCTGTATAGCACCAGAAAGGGTCCTGGACCCTTTTTGTTACAATAACCTATTTTACACTATTTTAGTGTACCCCAAAAATGCATTGAATTTATTTGGTTAAAATGTGCAAATATTTCCATATGAATAAAATACATTACATAATCACAATTTATGCCAAAAGTAAGTAAAATGAAAGACAAAGTCGTGTTTATGTAAAATGGAAATCGTTGTTTAATTCAAATCAATTTAAATTGTTGTTCAGTTCAAATCACGTAAATTCAATGAATCACTTTTCAGATTGTAGAGGTTCCACAGGGAACCCAGTACTTGAGATTTCTACTCCTGTTGGAGGTGTTTTTGTTTACATCTATCACTGCATTAAACAAACACTTAATTCACTCGTGTGTAATTTTACGCTACTCTATCCAGTTCTAGCAACATTTCCTACGTGTAAAAGACGCGTTTATGCAGCAATGCTGAACGAGCTCCGTCTGCTGGTTCTAGTCCGTTCGTAGTTCTTCAGAGTTTTTGGCAGAACGAGAATGGGAACCCCATCTATTACGTCAACGCCTTAACTGCGACAGGTGATTGGCTGCTGCTAAATTAGCCTGAGGAGGACAAGCCAATCAGATCAGCCGGAGCGCCGAGGATCAACAGTGATTCGTCAACTTTCCCTCGCTTACCTGAGCTGGAGGAAGCAGGTCGAGGGGCTTTCATGGTCGAGGGGAGAGAAGTGCAGGGACACCTTCAGTCAGTCTGACAGGACTCTGACCGCCGCAGAGCCGACACTCACCCCGCCGAACGCCTGCTCAGTCAGCGCACACAGGCTGAGCACACAGAGGAAAGACAGAATGGCGAAAGACACGCGCGAGAGAGGTAAGGGCTTTTTATTCCACCTGGCTGCTGTTTCGCGGTAAGCCGTCATTAAGGGCTAAAGATGGTGAAGTGGATTCGAGTGTAGTTTGCCCTCAGGAATCCAGCTGCTGCGTCGCGGCGGGAAAGGCAGTGGTGGAGGGTGACGCACTGACATTTCGTCGAAGTGAGACATGCCCGAAGCGGCAACTCGGCAAATCCAATTCGTTACCAGACGAGCTCAAACTTACGAGCTCAAATTCGTTAGCAGCACAGCGCCCGCAGCCCTTTTCTTTTCCGTGGAAATTCTAGGAAGTGTCTCAAACTGTGTCCGCAGAACTGCCGTTAATGTTCAACGGACGTTTTTCCCGAAACACCAGGCTGTAGCTTCTCAAAGTTCTCACGCCCTCCGTGTAGGACAGGCTTAAATTTCATTTCTGACTTCGACCGCACGCGCTGAAAAATTGGGTTATGTGAGTCGTGGTTGCACATAAAAGTCTGGGTCACCTTCGGTTCCCTCACAAAATTGACGGCTGGGTGATTTAGACCTGGCTGTAACTTTCAGTCAGTGGGAGGTGTTCAGGCTCGGTGTTGGCTGGGCTGGACATCATTCTGTGTGTGCTGTGGTTTTAGCTGGTGTGAATGTTTATGATTCACGCTATACTCTGTCACACGTGAGCAACATGAATAAATACCAGCTAATTTACATACAAACTTACTGTTCATGTTGTAGCCACTCACATCTGTAATGCAGGTCCTGAATTGCAATAGGCGTAACATCTGGCACTCTAATACTAACAGAGACCTGAAATATACGTGTTTTAAAATTTGAAGAGCTTAATAAGGATATACATTGATCGTTGAGACTAGGGGTGGGCAATGTGATGATATGTCAGTGTAATCATGATAAATTATGACCAGAAAATTAACATATTTCACTTGTAAAGTGTATGAAAACCGCAAGTAATCACGTTTTCACATTTTTTACATGTGAAGTGTGCAAATACTACAACGTTGAACAGCTATGTGGTAAAAACACATTTATTTTATAGATCATAAATTGCAGAGAGCATGTAAATAAACAATTATAGTAACTGCATAAAATGCATTGTAGCAAGTAGCTACAAGGTATCAGCACAGTTTATCCACACATTTTCACAGCTTTTGTTAAATGTGTAACTTTTCCTGATGTGTATTTTCTGTTGCAGCCTGTTTGCAAACCTCAGAAAAATGAAATTCATCATATATACCGTGTAACTGTCATCAGGTATCATGATGTTATATTTTTGCCATATCGTCCACCCTTAGTTGATGACAGTGAATGACACTGTAGGTTCTCCCTGTGCATTTGCTTTATTAAACCTCACTCAAAGAACAGACCAGAAGAATGGACCACTCTGTCCTACCCTATATTTTTAAGGACACAGACAATACACTGTGCAACTGAGCAATAAACAATACAAAACTTCCTCATATACAGTTCCTGAACAATACACTGGGGAAAAAGTGCATAAATTTTGAAGACCACCAAGAATTTGGTGACCCTTCAGGTTCTTGTAATTTGTCAAGTGTACTTGGTTACATCACAAGGGAACAATGAATAACATAATCATCACAGCAGCGCTATACTATATCACTATATCCCTCATTTATTACCTTAGAAGGCCAATATTTCAAAGAGATACAGTTGTGAACCCAGAACTGTCAACGTTCATGAACCTGTAAAAGATTTATGTGCATTTTAGGGAAGTGACAAAGAGCAGTGACGATTTTCAAAGTTGGTTGACATAAAAATTCATCTGTACCAACTGAGATGAAATGCTCATAAGTTTAGATCACATAGAATTGTATTATTTCAGTGGAGAATTAGCTACACCAGCATTTCAGCAATAAACCATGCATCCATTTTCTTTACCTTATGAAGTCATTGTTCCTCAGAAACAAACACGTTGTAACTATTACATTATCAGGCTTACTACATCATTTGCAAATCATCTGATTCTTAACTTATAAAAGGCATGAATGGTAGACTGGACTGACTGGTGAGTCCTGGGGCATTTAAGGAGTTGTTAAAGAAATACTTGATTTTTGTGGCAGATGAGGCTGAAAAACCTCATCTGCCACAAAAATCAAGTATTTCTTTAACAACTCCTTAAATGATTTCTATATCAATTTTTGACAGTGTGTTAAAAAAGTCTGTATTATGAAACGCTCTAATTATGTTATATACTACAAAGATATCAGGTTCGGATAAAAAAAATAAAAAAATAAGATTAGTACGTCCTTGTGCAAACTATAAACCCCTTACATGGCCATGGGCCCGCGGCAGGCCCAAAGCATTATTACACACTTCTGTAATGTAAGAATAGCTCAAACCGTTTGCACTGAAGTCCCTGTAGTTACTGAGTAATAAGCTTTGTTATGTAATAAGCATGATTGTAAGGGCTCAATTTTATAAAACAGTGCAACTGAGCAATAAACAATACAAAACTTCCTCATATACAGTTCCTGAACTTCCTCACGTAAAACCTTTTTTAACCTCCCAAAACTGAAAGGTGAACATCAAAAAGCCACAAAAGCACAATTAAACTGTAACACTTAAACAAGTGACTGCATCTCTGACAACACTTGTGAGTGGCCATCTGAATAGCCCAGAGGGCATATCAGCAGTATAGTTTTAAACTTCAGTTCACTGTTTGAACTGTATTTTTTTGTATTTTTAATACTATATTGAAATTGTAACACCCCTAGTTCTAAATGACTGTAGGTTGCTGATGGGCAGATGGAGAAAAGGCTGAAAAATGCTGGAGTATTCCTTTAAGACAGAACATGCTTTCATGAAAGAAGAAAAGGTCTTTGACTTGATTTACATCTGATACCTCTGAGACCTGAACTCCATGTCCTTATAAAGTGAGACACAAGCACTTCAGGTATGGACATTCATTGTGTTTTGTTTGACACTTGGAGCACTTGGCTCACCTTCTGAGCCAAATACTCTTGTAGACACAAGAGCATTTTGTTACCACAAGTGTGCAGAGGCAGAATAGCCTACGTACATATCTGATCATCTTTATTACAATCTTTTCTGGCATATCTCATTTAGAACATCAAATAGCGATATCCTGTCAGATGTGTTTGAATTGCCTTAATTAAACCCAGTGTCCACTTCCATTCAGGCCCACTCAGTACATGTGTGATAGCACATGATTACAGACACAAAGGCGGCGTTATGTTTTGTATATGATGCTCTTGTTGATGGGGTTACTGATGACAGGACAGCTGTGCCGTCTGAAGCTTTTGTTCTGTTTTGGGAGGTAGGCAGGCAAGGACAATTATGGCTTTCTCTTAGAAAACAAATGGAGTGATGACATGGTTTGAAGATTGTCTGATTGAACTATGTCTTGTGTCGTACAAAAGAAGACTGAGATAGAAAATACAAAATACTCGCCCTTCTTTCTTTAGAAAGTATTGAAATTGCTTGATTCAGATATGTATGTTATATTCATGTGGAAATGATGTGCTCATCTGAGTCAGGTAAATTCAGTGCATTAGGTTTTTTTTTCAGTATAAAGCATGTTGAAGACTACCATGTGTGGCATACACACATGCTCACACGCTGTTGTGCGAAGTCATACTGTGAGCTGATACACTCTAACAAGTTTCTTCTCGCTGCTGAAGTGTTAAAAGCTTGTGCTGCCACCAAAAAGACCAGTCAGGGTTGCAGTGTTTGTAACACCTGAAGAGCTTGGAGGCAACACCATCTCTCTCTTTCTCTCTCTCACTTTCTCTCTGCTCGTCCTCACTTCTCTGTCAGCTTGAAATATCTTGTGAAGGGCTGGCATGAATACCTCAAGATGTGTTTGTGATTGCACAAATGAAAAAAGGTATAAAGGCAAAGAGGACAGTATCTACTGAAGTTATATACACATATTAGAAAGTGTCTACTGAAACTATAAAAGTACAGAGCACAGTATGTGTTGAGGTTATAGAGGCACATAAGAAAGTGTGTACAGGGAAGAGTCTGTATTCGTATATATATATATAGATGTGCATATTATTTTATGTGCAAATTGGCATGTGAAGTGTTTAAATAAAATAATTAAAGAAGAATGAGATGTTTGAACTCCACCAGAGGGCAGTGTAGAGCCTGTGTATTACATTAAAAATTTCATCAAAATTCATCAAAATTTCTAAACTGTTTACTTAAAAGAAGAAAGCATAGAAAGACTGCTGCAGCCATCTAAAGGCTAAAGCACATGGGACTAGAAGCTCCATGCTGCACCCCCAGAGAGTCTCTGGGTAGCAGATGGTACAAAGCGCAGCTATAGCTCTTATAAAGCGTTGCAGAAAAGTGCCACTAAACATCAAACTCAGGTTTAAACTCAAAAGGCATTAGACTAGGGCTGAGTGATTTGGGGAAAATATCTAATTGTGTTTTTTCTGACCAATATTGCGATTGTGATTTAAATGAGAATATTTTCTATAAATGTAGCTCTAGACCTTTTTTCCCTTAGGCTTGAGTCTTGAATGCTAAACGTACTGTGTCCGATGGCCAGTTCAGAAGCTCTGTGTTAATCTCCCCACTCCAAGCTTGTTAAGACAATGTTCAGTAATGTAGGATATTAAAATTGCAGCTTTTGTGATTTGAAAATTACACTATTTCAAATTGTGATTTCGATATAAAAACAATTCATTGTTCAGCTGTACATTAGGGCTGTCAAAATGTTCACCAAATTCAGTGACAAAATGCACATTTGAATGTATAAACCTACTTGTGCTACAACCTAATATGTTTCAACAAAGGAGTTAGTAGCATTATTACACATGATGGCCATTGTTTTCAGCAATTTTCATTGTCTGTTTTGGCTTTTGGCTTTTTAAAATAAATGGAAATATTTGCAGTCATCTGACAGCTCTATAAACTCAGTTATTCTGAACAAACTGATACATTTACTTTATAAGCTAAATAACAGTAGGCAGAAATAGGCTCTCATATGAGCTGAATGAAATGAATAGTCTGCTTC